GAAAAAAATATTAGTTTCTTATTAACATCAGCTTCCACACGACAATCACGTTATGAAATATGAATGTACTGGTTTGTAGCTGCGCATATGATGCTATAGATAGATCCATGCACTGTGCAGGAAATAAATATAGTGTAACTGTTTCTTTCTAAGCAATTAGTATATAATACAGACATTTTTAATAATCTCATTATAATGCGGTCCAGTATGCGCTATTAAATGCTTTGACCGCTACGTTGAAGTACCATAAAATATACGGTTCACGAACGCTGTAGATGCTACCTTACTAAGCAAATGGACCAGGTTATAACACTTGTAGCTGTGTAGCACGAGCATATTCTTCTTCTGTCACATGTAATGTAAATATGTCATCAGTTTTTAATCAAGCAATTGTAATTCCATTAAAATTTTTAATAGTATTACAACTTTTCTTAGTATGTACTACAATTGTTCATGGATACCAAATTTCTATAACATACAGCTAACCCACCTCGTAAGGACAGGCATTTGAAGCGTCTTGGGGTGCGTTCCGTTATGCACGCAAGTACTGACAGTACTACCAAAGCGTTCCGATTAGGGTGCGTTCCGTTATGCACTGCAAGTACTGACAGTACTACCAATAGCGTTCCGATATAGATAGCAGTGCACTGCGAAAGTACTATCAGAGAGAAAGATGAGAGCGGCCAGGCCGGCGTTTTGGCTGTTACCGTTTTTACGGGACTGCTTGAAGCGCCCCTCGCACCCGTTTTTAATATCGGAACTAACTGCACACCCATTTTCTGGCAGGGTCGATAAAGTTTGTATTTGGTGCGAGTCCGTGCTACGCCCATAATTTTCGTGTTAACACAGTATCACGTATTCATTCTGTATATGTGCGATCTTTTCTCTTATTTATATATATATATATATATATATATATATATGTATTTATATAATTTGTATAAAAACTAAAATATAATTATTAAAATATATATATATATGTATATGTGTAATGAAATATATAAATCTTATTTTAATTAAAATAAAAAGAACGATTAATTGTTCGACCACCTGGATTTTGGAATGTAATTTTAATATATATTATATTATATTTAATATTTATCGCCGCTTCTATTAATATGAAGTGCAATGTCAACGTGCAATAATGTACAATTATTTAAAGTTTCCATGCCTAATGTATCATGCCGGTATAAAAGAACGTCAAGTAGCATGCGTAGCCGAGCAACTAAGATGACGAGCTGAAATCGTGGACATTTCAAGTTCAAACCCCTGCCTTTTTCAGATTTTTTTTTCACTTTTTTCAAATAAGTTATTATGTGTATAAATGTGTAATAATCAATATATCATTATTTGATAATTTTTTTTGTAATGGAACAAAATAAATTATTTTTTAATTCTGCAAGGAATTTAATTATTAATGCAAACGCCCACACACATAATTTAGATATTCAATTTTTAGTTCAAATGTTTCTTGCAATCTGTATACGACAATCAGTCCACTCGCTGTGCCACAGATTGCATCGCATAATACGCTCAGAGTTATAATACGATAGAGATCGCTTTACGCTGTTTTCCTTGAAATAAATAAATTTTACGTGTTGTGTACGCGTGTTTAGTATATTTGTTTCTTTTACTTTAACTATATTAGTTTTTTAATTAAGATTATTTTAATTGTTGATTTTTTAGTGTCCTTTTTTCTTTAATTTCGCATTTTTTAATTCGCATTTTTAATTTTTTTTTTTTGGTGTTGGTGCTAATTATATTTTTATTTTACAATGTCGAGTAAACACCGGTTTACGATAAATGTGTGTATTTAAATTGCACAAATATTAGGACAAAAGATGGAAAACGTTATTTCGATTTCCATTACAAACGGGTGCGAGACATGATTTATGGTTACGCAATAGTGGTGAGTTTATAAATGATTACTTACTTATATCAATATATAATATATATTGATATGATATATGAAACAAATATATATATATATTCTTTGTTTTTTTTAATAAAATATGTCAGATTTATGTGTTTACGTATGGATTACGTTGAAGTGTTTCTTTGCCGCGTTTTTCTGATCTCGCCGAACGGTTCGCGAATCCTGTGCGAATAAAAAACGATGCGCGTGTGTGTGTGCGTGCGATTGTGATGATCAGTTTCAGTTCGTCTTCAACGCTTGACGAGAGAAGAGGTCCCGAACTGCTGTAAGTTTATAAAAACATATTTTTGTATAACACATTAGAACGATTTTATATTATTTTTTTGTCTAGAAAACGTTATATTAATAACCGTTATGAAAACGATCTCGACGACGGTCGTCACCGGATCGTCGCCGTCGTCAAGATCGTTTTCATAACGGTTATTAATATAACGTTTTCTAGACAAAAAAAATAATATAAAATCGTTCTAATGTGTATACAAAAATATGTTTTTATAAACTTACAGCAGTTCGGGACCTCTTCTCTCGTCAAGCGTTGAAGACGAACTGAAACTGATCATCACAATCGCACGCACACACACACGCGCATCGTTTTTTATTCGCACAGGATTCGCGAACCGTTCGGCGAGATCAGAAAAACGCGGCAAAGAAACACTTCAACGTAATCCATACGTAAACATACATAATATCTGACATATTTTATTAAAAAAAAACAAAGAATATATATATATATTTGTTTCATATATCATATCAATATATATTATATATTGATATAAATAAGTAAATCAATTTTATAAACTCACCACTATTGCGTAACCATAAATCATGTCTCGCACCCGTTTGTAATGGAAATCGAAATAAACGTTTTCCATCTTTTGTCCTAATATTTGTGCAATTTAAATACCACATTTATCGTAAAACCGGTGTTTACTCGACATTGTAAAATAAAAATAATAATTAGCACCAACACCAAAAAAAAAAGAAAATTAAAAAATGCGAAATTAAAGAAAACAGGACACTAACAAATAAACAACTAACACTAAAATAATCTTAATTAAAAAACTAATTATAGTTAAAATTAATATGAAAGAAACAAATATACTAAACACGCGTACACAACACGTAAAATTTATTTATTTCAAGGAAAAACAGCGTAAAGCGATCTCTATCGTATTATAACTCTGAGCGTATTATGCGATGCAATCTGTGGCACAGCGAGTGGACTGATTGTCGTATACAGATTGCAAGAAACATTTGAACTAAAAAAAATTGAATATCTAAATTATGTGTGTGGGCGTTTGCATTAATAATTAAATTCCTTGCAGAATTAAAAAATAATTTATTTTGTTCCATTACAAAAAAAATTATCAAATAATGATATATTGATTATTACACATTTATACACATAATAACTTATTTGAAAAAGTGAAAAAAAAATCTGAAAAAGGCAGGTGTTTGAACTTGAAATGTCCACGATTTCAGCTCGTCATCTAGTTGCTCGGCTACGCATGCTACTTGACGTTCTTTTATACCGGCATGATACATTAGGCATGGAAACTTTAAATAATTGTACATTATTGCACGTTGACATTGCACTTCATATTAATAGAAGCGGCGATAAATATTAAATATAATATAATATATATTAAAAATTACATTCCAAAATCCAGGTGGTCGAACAATTAATCGTTCTTTTTATTTTAATTAAAATAAGATTTATATATTTCATTACACATATACATATATATATATATTTTAATAATTATATTTAGTTTTTATACAAATATATAAATACAATATATATATATATATATATTATATATATATAAATAAAGAGAAAGATCGCACATATACAGAATGAATACGTGATACTGTGTTAACACGAAAATTATGGGCGTAGCACGGACTCGCACCAAATACAAACTTTATCGACCCTGCCAGAAAATGGGTGTGCAGTTAGTTCCGATATTAAAAACGGGTGCGAGGGGCGCTTCAAGCAGTCCCGTAAAAACGGTAACAGCCAAAACGCCGGCCTGGCCGCTCTCATCTTCTCTCTGATGAATACGTGATACTGTGTTAACACGACAATTATGGGCGTAGCACGGATTCGCACCAAATACAAACTTATCGACCCTGCCAGAAAATGGGTGTGCAGTTAGTTCCGATATTAAAAACGGGTGCGAGGGGCGCTTCAAGCAGTCCCGTAAAAACGGTAACAGCCAAAACGCCGGCCTGGCCGCTCTCATCTTTCTCTCTGGTACTATCATGAGTATATGACGTCATTAATTTTGACGTTATTTCCTGTTGCGATTACTGCAACCGGCGAGGTAAAGCACTCGCAGTAATCAAGATGGCTACCTCCATGTGTACGATGGAACTAACTTTTAAATTCCATATCTGAATATAATGATACAATATTTTTAACGTAATTTTACATTTTATTCTAGGTATTTTAATTTGTCGTCTCATTTCATTTATTAATTCCATTTCCAAATCGCTTTCACTTGATGACTCACTCGAATCATATATATTCTCGATTAAATTATATGTATTAATGCAATAATGGTATTATCCATTTCACCAATTTTTCACTCGATGATTATTAGCGAAAAAGGTTAGTTAAAAGTCTGCTGAAAGCGTACTGTAGTGCGTTCCGTTTTACTATTTTGCAGTAACTTCAAAGTGCACAAAATTAAAAAGGAACGCTGTCAACAGTACACTTGCATGACGTCATAGTGTCAGTACTTGCAGTGCATAACGGAACGCACCCTTGGTAGCGAATATGATGACGTATTTTATGACGTCATGAAGTTTGCTGTAACATTTTATAGCACAAGTGAACCAACCGTAGCGCTGCTACAAACGCTCCGTAGTACTTATAGCGTAAACCGGACCGCACTATTAGTCAGTTGTGCTTTATTGTTTGCAGAGCTAATGACATTTGTCATTTTTGTATTTTACTTTAAAAAAATGTTTCTTTATATATCCCTTACATAGAAGTATGGTATAAAATCGGATTTTGTAATTTGGCTCTCTTGAATCTTTTGTAATAAAGAAATACAGATTCTGGTCAAAACGCATTTTGATCTACGGCTAGCTATACATTGTTTATCAATTAGCGATTTTAATCTTCAAAAAAAATTTACATATTTGCGTACTATGCTGATTACAAATATCACAATTATAATACAATTTTTTTATCGTAAAATGAGAATAATGAGTTCGTTTATAATTTTTTTTACGGCTTTTTTATGTGTATAGTCGCTCAGATTTTCAGTCTTCATAAAGTATTTTTCATTACCGACTTTTTAAAAGGTGCATGTAGCAAAGCCGTATCGTCAAAGATAGATATGACCACTACTTTGTCAATATTTCGACTACTCCTAATTCTATGAAAAATTCAAGGCACATGAATATTTTTTCATACAGATGCGAGTCGATGTGATTTATTTCATTTCGATTATCTCAACAATATAAAATAAAAAAGTTTTCTAACTTTTGACATAACAAATCTAACCTGATTGATATTGTCAAAAGTTAAGTAACTGCATCAGTGGCATAACTAGAATAATGGGTGTGAGTTCCTCAAAAGGATGGAGTCAAAACAATAAAATAAAACATGAAAAAAATTTTTGAATGTTTTTCAAAAATTTGTAAGAAAGATATAAGGAAGTATTTCAAAAATAACATACCAACATTTTTTTGAAATTCAAAATTTCGAATTTTTTTGAAATAAAAAATATTACGGATAGACAGAGATACAAAAATATTAAACACCGGATATAACGCAAATTAGTTACGGCACTGAAATGCATATATATAAAACTATTTGGGGTCTACTTATTAAAACTTTAATCATTCCAATTTTAAAGTCCTTTTTCGTTTAGAATTAATAATGCATTAATCTAATAATTTGTCCATTTTTAGGAGAAATTTGTTTCAATTAGAATTTTGCAGCAATATATACACATTATGATGAGAACAAATTTTCCAGCAAGAAATCACAGAGGTAGACACAATGTGATGTAATTAGCTATCGAATATGATAACCAATCTTGTAATCAATTGTGTTTGTGTATTTCTTATGGAAAGCTTTCAATGTGTTCACAGTTGATTGTTCTGTTACTATGAAATTGGTTTATAATATAATATTGTAATGACGTGTGTGATGACAGAAACATTGATATAAAGATCACAGATTAAAACCATTATCTTCGAAATTGATTCAAAGACATGAAAGAGTATACTAGCTCAAGTTGTACGGATATTGTACACTAAGCTGGTAACAAATCGAAGTCGTCTGATACATGTACCATTGGAACATGAACATCTTCTATCTGAGGAATTATTTTGGATTCACAAAGACCCACTTCTTTCAATTTCCATTCCCAATTCATTTGCTGAACAGCGTGCAATGATTCTGCTTCATTGTGATGTCTCAACAGCATACCTTCCTGAAATTAATTAATGATTATAAATAGAAATAAGGATTTTAAAAAAATATATATATAGATCATTCCACGTCAAATCGCCCCCCCGCCCCCCGCCCAAAATTGTATTGAAGTAAATTTAACTTCCAAGGTACCAAAATTTAGCTTGAAGCATCTAATTTTTATACCGTGTGGCGATTTTGAGAAATGTTAAATAATGACCTTGGTTTTGTCAGTTATATAAAAAATGGTACGTATTTTCTTATTCAAATCTTTACTATTTTCTTACAAATAAAGTATAAAAGTCATTTTTAATGTAATTTGATCCGCTGAATCCGAATCTGAAGTCAGAAAAACAAAATATATATTTTTGCAAATAAATAATTAGTTAAGAGTTTAACAAGGCTCTGTAATATAAATATAAATTTAAAGATATAAGACAGGCAATAAGAGCCAACTCGCGGATGACAGTGTGTTATCCTAACAAAACTAAATTTTTCGTTAGGATTAAGTATCTGTGCACAAGGCACCAAATTTTACTTGGTCACGGCCAAGATTCAAAATATGAAATAGTCTCATATTTGAGATTTAATTTCAATAACCCTTTCACCCCCCTACGGAAATAAGTAAATGCAAGAGAAAAATATAGATCCGAAAGTCGCTGAATCGGGAATTCCCGAGCTAAACGCGGATGTTGCTGTGGAAACAAATCGTGCACAAGGCACATATTACTCTTGGTGTACTAACCAAGACTTTGAAAATTGAAATAATCTCTTACTTGAGATTTTCTTTCCAAAAACCCTTTGACCCCCTTATTGAAATAAATAATTAATTGCGAGAGAAAAATATAGATCCGAAAGTCACTGAATCGGGAATCGAATCCGAGACCTTTCGCTTGCCGGGCGACTGCTCTTCCAACCCCCTTCACCGAAATTTGAATATTTTACATTTTATATAAAAAAATTGTTAACTTCATAACTCAAAACGTACTTAATGAAAATGAATTTTATTATAATGTTTTAAAAAGCTCTCGAGATAAGCTACAAAAATATATAATGAGAAATAGGGGTTTCCATTAAAAATTGTTAAGTTAACCCTCAAATGACCTCCAAATTTGGCGTTTAGGTCAAAATCAAGATTACCATCAGATATCCCCCTCGAAATCCTACAATTTTTGTATGAAACATTTTTTGAAGGAAGCCTTGGTTTTTGAAATATATTAATGCATTATTTAAAATGGGACACTGTGTGTATACATTAGAATTTATTTAGCTTCCATTTTGATAAACGTATAAAACATAAAATAGCTAAACTCGAATGGCTAAAGTCTCCACACAATTTGATAAAGTTTCTATATATCTGATTTTTCCAGTTGAACAATTCTTGTTCTTTACTCGCAATAATAGGCAGCAAATATCGTGAAGGTTTTTGTGTAATTTTTTGCGAAATTTTTCCATCAGAGTATGTAATGTCTTTACCTTAATCTTCTCCCATTTGTCATCGACGTCTTGAAGCCAACTTAAGAACAATCTACCGTTGTATCTACTCCTTGCATTTCTATCTTTCTCTTCTTGTTCAGGAGTAATGACGTTATAAACCTCTTCGTCTTTGAGAATCGTGCAAACAGAAAAGGGAAGAGACTGATTAGCGAGTGCTCTAGCAGCTCTACCATGAACTCTAAGAATTTCCTGTTCCACCGACAGAACTAATTTCTCTTTTTCAACCACATGCTGCATTCTGAGACGGTATCGCTCCTTTTCTTGTTCACTGTACAAATCCTTCATAGATCCATGCAAACCGGCTGGTGGGTTAACATTTGGCTCTTTCGCATTACTAGCTAATACGTATGTACAGCGATTCATTAAGTAATCTTTAAAACCTTGAGGAGGTTTTGGTTGAACGGGAAATAAGCTTTTTCGTCTTCTTTCAATCTGCAAAAAATATTAAAAATTTGTGTATTGAATTTTATAATTTTTTTTATATGTATGAAAACTGAAGTTTTTCTTTTTTTTTCTTTTACAGTTTATATTCTAATAGTTGATACATACAGGGTATAATAATAAAAGGTCAGAACATTGGATTATCTAGAAAAATATAAGTCCTACAAAAATGAAAATTGTAGGGCTTAAAACACGCTATGGTATAAAGTACAATCAATTGGTATAAAGACAACAGATAATTGTTTAAAAAAAGAAATGTAATTTGCAACATGCAGCTCCATACTTTTTCTTAAAAGCAACACTGTGTTTTCTTTTCACCAAAATTATGTTTTTTTACACCCTATTTATTGATCTTATTGTTCCGTGCAGTTTTATGATTAAAAATTAAGGTATGATTACCGAAAACTGAATATTTTACAAGATATTTTATATTTTATATAAAAAAATTGTTAACTTCAAACCTTATAATTCGAAAAATACTTAATGAAAATGAACACTATTATAGTGTTTTAGAAAGTTCTCGAGAGATAAGCTACAAGAATATGTAATGAAAAATAAGAGGTTCCATTTAAAAAATTAAAGGTGACCTTTAAATGACTATCCAAGGTCAAACTGATAAGATCAGTAATTTTTTGTACAACTTATATTTTTCGAGATAATCCAGTCTCTCGATCTTTTTTGTTACACCCTGTATATGCGTTGTATGTGTCATCAAATTAGAAAGAGCAAATAAGACAATAAATTTATTTTGTGCAGCCGGCGCGCAAAAAGTCGCCCTTCACGCACATGATGGGATTTTAGAAAGGGCTCCCTTTCCACTCACCGGTCACACAAAATATCGTAACCAACATGTGCGGGTCATAAATCGGCCGATCGTGCGGATTGTCACACTTGGCTTCGCCTCATGCGCCAAACTTCCGCAAACTCTCGGCCGATTTACGATCCCCCGCGCTTGTTAGCTAATATACTATTTAATAATATTACCTGCTTTCTAATATTAAGAAATAATTGATAACAATTAGTGATCGGTTGATCGTGCGGATGAATTTCTGGTCCCGTATTAATAGCTTCAGTCGCTTCGCTGGCAGCGACTGTAGCCGTAGCTTGTTGTGCTTCTTTGTTAGGTCTCATTTTTCTTTTCCTAGGATGAAGTTCTACAGGCGGCGCCGGTGTACCGATATTAGACATAGAGGAGGTATTAACCGGTATGTTCTCTAAATTTTCTGTACTATTATCCTTTTGATTTTTTCCTGAGATATCTACATTTTTATCCGATTTTTCCACGGTTGCGTTAGACTTTGGGATGGTCCCTGTATTTGTCGATTCTGACGAAGTAGCCTTATTAACATCGGATCCAATTATTTCAGGCGTTGGCGAGTGATGTCTTTGTTGTGGCGAAGAATTATTCGAACGATCCATGGAAGTATTAATTGGTAATGGCGACGAATTGGAATAATTTCCATTTCCTGACGAAGGAGTGGTTTCTTTTGATGTGGAACCGTTATTACCATTACCGGTTCTGTAATAATAGTATATGGTTATGAGAATTATATATAGTCATTTAAAAATAAGTAATTTATAACTATAACTTTTCTTATTTTTTTATATAATGATTTATATATTTGTTCTCTCTGTATATTAATATTTTCTGATCCATCATAATCTTTATAGCATAAAAGTTGTGTGGATAGAAAAATATAACTTATTTTATTAAAATAAATATATGAACACTTTGCAGCACATATTTATAAATAACTTTACAAAATCATAAGTGTATTTACTATTTAAAAATTATAAGACATATAACTCAAAGGAAAAGCATATTTGGACCCATATGTTTATAGGAACTTTTTTCTTATTTTGACCTCTAGAATACGCCTTAAAATCTCCGACATATGTAGGTTTAGAAACTCCCTGTACTCTTTAAAACCATACAATTTCAGTTTAACTCATTTTTCTCTACAGATAATATTGATTATAACATCAAACTAATATTTTCAAAAGCCTCATTTTGTATATCTGAGTAATTAGAACAACAATCTAACTCTTTATTTACCTGTGTGAACTTCTCAATACTCTTTGATGATGCGTTGATCTTTCTTCTCCATGTAAAGCTGAAGCAAAGTCCTTTTTATCGTCTCCTTTTGTATTAGTAGTATTTTCCGTAGGACTAGTTGTACCACTGGCCGACTGATTTTGCTCTTTCTCAGTTGAATCGTTGCTGTTCGAACTAGCAACTACGTAGGGTAATTGATGACTTCTATTCGCAATATTTTTACCGTTTCTATTGCCTTGCTCTTGTTCTGATGCTGTACTTTGTGGGATAACTATCTTCAGAGGCGGTACTTTAGGAGCAATATTAGAATCAGAGCACTTTGATCGATCCTCTTCGCCATCGGATTCAAGAGCTGGAATACTAGTTTTAGCGCTTGTCGAACTAGAAGTATTCGAAGGTTTTGGGCTACTGGCCATCGAGGAAGTACTAGGACTCTTTCTATCTGCGTTGATGGAACTCGTACTTTGACTTCCTTTACTGGATGTGACCCCAGATCCTTGTTTAGTTGATTTAACACACTGCAAATAATTATATATAATTATTATTATAATATATGTATACAATATATAATCGCTAGAAAGAGAATATCCCGCGAAAAATGATTAAATATGATTTAAATATGGTTTTTATTACTTGTTTATATGAACTAAATTAAACTCAAATAAAAACCAATGTCAAATTTAAAAGTAATTAAATTCATATATGTTCTGAATATGCATCCCAATTAAATTTAAATATGTTCTTGCTATCGAATTTAACTTGTCCAGCCGCATATATGGATTATATTAATATTTAATAAGCATCTAATCAACTTGAGTTTCTAATTTGGTTTAAATTTGAAACAAATAAATTTTTAATTAACACACAAATTGTTAATTAAATTAATTAACACATGTAAGAACTGTGTTTCAAGACTAACAAATATTCGGCGTACAGTTCGCATAGACTAGAATTTGTTAATGATATTAATTATTCGTATATACACAAACCGTGTTGGCTTTTAACATACTGGCGTTTATTTCGATATTTCTTATCTGTTTATTATGTTTTACTGCGATATGTTTACATATTTTATAATTTCAGTTTTAGTTAATATAGGTCATTAGCTTTTAATCATTATAAATATACGTACTCAGATAGCCACAGTGATTATTATTATACATAAGTATACGAAAAATTAACATTGAAGATAAGTAAATTAATAAAAATGGACTTACAGTTAAATCGAGTAAGATGTTATATTGTGACGTGGAGGCTTTTCGATGTTGATAGCTCGAGGTAACAATAACGTATGATTTTTAACTCTCAGAGAGACGCACAACTGAGAAAATAGTTAGTTGTTTATGTTTTTTAACTTTCAAATCTTTGGTAGTCTATGTATAATGTCGTCATAAATTACTGGCAAGTCATCAATATCTGTTTTTAAATTGAGACTGTTATTTTGCCTTTTTATAAATATCATCTCTGAAATCAATCTTTTACTATATTGCGATTCTTTATCAAGTATTTTTTCATTGTCCCAACAAAATTCATAATTATGTTTTAATCTATGGTCAGTGATTACCGATTTTTTTACATTTCTGTGTATATTAGATCGATGTTCAGATATTCTAGTAGATAATTTCCTACTAGTCTGACCAACATACGATGCATTGCACTCTTTACAGTCTATCTTATATATTACATTGGTATTTAAACACTTAGGAATAGGATCTTTATGTACTTTAACATATTTAATAATATATGAATTTTAAATCGGCCAATAGAGCCCAAGCGCGAAAAAGTAATTCTTCGGAACTGTATCTCTTGGTTTGAGATTACTAAGTTCCATATATAAATTAATCTCAAATTTACATATGGAGAAAAATAGGCGAGAAAAATATAGGTCCGAAAAGTCGCTGAAGCGGGAATCGAACCCGCGTCTTTCACTTTCCGCGGGTTCGATTCTCGCTTCAGCGACTTTTCGGATCTATATTTTTCTCGCCTATTTTTCTCCATATGTAAATTTGAGATTAATTTATATATGGAACTTAGTAATCTCAAACCAAGAGATACAGTTCCGAAGAATTACTTTTTCGCGCTTGGGCTCTATTGGCCGATTTAAAATTCATATATTATTATTATTATTAATATTGATGAGAGCCGACGTATATTTCTTATCTGATTTAATATATTTATTAAATTTGTTAAAACTATAAAAAGAGAGTTTAACATTCATATCTTTAATAATGTTTCTCTATTGTTCAGTGAGTGTCGGTAAGAATGGGATGCAAAAATACGAGACTTTTACATTTTGGTCATTCTTATTTGTAAGAATATTTCGTTTTTCTTAAATGTTTTAGTCTTTGGTTCATTGTGTCAAAAATCAATTTCAGAGGATAATTATTTTCAAGTAATATTTTGATTACTAACTCTAAATTTTCTTATGAAATTCTGGATTTGATAATAAGAAGGCTCGATCAACTAGCCCCATTATCGTACCTCGTTTTTGACTCATAGGATGTTGAGACAGGAAGTTCAGATATCTACCAGAAAACATTTTTTTATGGTACCAATCATATATAATGTTATTATTTTTTAATATCAATGTTAGGTCGAGAAAATTAATTTTATTATTGTCTTGAATTTCAAGAGTAAACTGGATTCTTTCGTGAAAGAAATTAAATAGATTTAATGTGTGATCTATGGAATCCGATGGAGCAGCCATTATTATATCATCAACATATCTAAAATATATAGGTGGACAAAACTTTAGTAGTTAAAGAGCTTTATTTTCTAAATCCTGTAATACAATATCAGTTATGATAGAAGATATCAATCTTTTTAGTCAGATGGTTTTGTCGCTAGCAATCAATATTTTTTTATGTATTGCTATTGATCTTTTGTAGAAATGTATTACTAGTAACGCCAATTAATCATTTATTTCTAGTGCTTAAAATACTGGTATACAGTAATTTAAGTACTAGAAATAAGTGATTAAGTACTTAAAATAAGTGATAAATTGGCGTTACTAATGATAAATTTCTATAAAAGATTACTGCCTATAAAGTGTTGCGTTTTATAAATTTTATCAAAAGTTTATCTTTTTTTTTTTAATTCAAGGTTAAGTTTCTTACTAATTGTAAGCATATCCCTTATAGAAATTTATCACCAGTAACGCCAATTAATCACTTATTTCGAATACTTAAAATACTAGTATACAGTAATTTAAGTACTCGAAATATCAGTGATTATAAGTACTCGAAATAAGTGATAAATTGGCGTTACTAGTGATAAATTTCTATAAGGGGTGGTCAAACACTCCTACAGCACGAAATATTACTAAAATATTGCATAAATATTTCAATATTGCGCCATATTATAAATATTGCAGCAATATTGTGCAAATATAATAAGTTATTATTTTATTGGAGACATTGCAAATTATTACTGCTATATTATAATGCAATCACATAGTTCTTTCATTTACCACTATGCGCCGCAAGTTGAACTATCTAACTCGCATTAAGTTTTAGTCCCGAGAATTATATAAAGCATGCAAAAAGTAGCAATTACAATCAACACTTTTAATGAATTTAATTTTTTCTGATGCGATCCTAATACAAGGAACTCAAATATTAAATTGATTGCTCAGAAATCAGACAAATAAATGTCTGAATAAATGAAAAAAATAAAAAAATAAATATTCTGCAATATTTTATAAATATTATATTCACCTTTGTAGAAATAAATCAGTATTATTGCAGAAATGTTGCACAATATAGTTTGAGAACAGACATATCTATATATTGGCAAGTTTTTAGAAATATTGCATACAATATTTCAATTTTGCAAAACAATATTTTTGCAATATTCTGTCAATATTTCGTGCTGTAGGGGCAAATAAGAAATATATAATAATAATAAATTAAATATATATAATAATAAATATATACATATTAATAAAAAAGTATATAATAATGTTTGTGTATATATGAATAATTAATATTATTAACAAATTATTCTAGCCTATGCAAACTGCGCGCCGCACATTTGTTAGTCTTGAAACACAGCTCTTACATGTATTAATTAATTTAATTAACAATTTGTGTGTTAATTAAAAACTTATTTGTTCCAAATATAAATCAAATTAGAAACTCATACAGGTTAGTTAAATGCTTATTAAATATTAATACCCCCATAGCAAAAACATTGGTGATATCATGGTGATGTGCAAATGTTCGCTTTGTCACAATATGATATCATTGTGACATCACACTTGTGACAAAGCGGACATCGCTATGACATCCAGAACACATCAAGATATCATCAATGTTTTTGCTATGGGGGTATGATTCATATATGCGCCTGGACAAGTTAAATTCGATAGCAAGAACATATTTTAATTTAATTTTGATGTATATTCAGAACATATATGAATTTAATTATTTTTACATTTGACATTTGGTTTTTATTTGAATTTAATTTAGCTCATATAAATAAGTAATAAAAACCATATTTAAATCATATTTAACTGTTAATCGCGGGATACATAAATTCCTTTATTTATTGCTATGTGACACGCAATACACGCTTATTTATCTCGTATATTTTCGTCATGAGAATTATATAAAGTTAGCCAAGTAGTTATTATACATATATTAATAATATAATTACATGACCTGTTTTTATAGTTGAACTAGTTGCGCTAGAGTTTATCTTTTTCTCCTTCTAATTTTTTAAAGATTGATTGTGAGATACAGTATTAAAAAAATATTTTTCATTTATTCAACAATTGACCAGAAAAAAACGATTGAAAATCATTAAAAACTAATAATTAAATATCATTAAAAACTAATAATTAAATAAAGCTCCATTAGTAAGTAAAGTTCTCGTCCAATCACTGGAGTTAAGCAATGCTTGATCATGATCAATCTTTAGATAGGTGGTGACCGCTTGGGAGCATTATTTTATTTTGTATAAAATAATTTAAATTAAATTTGAATTAAGATTCAGAACTTATTAATTTCATATATAATTTCAATTAAATTTTAATTTAATTTAAATATATTAGCTAATTAAATCCTTATTAAGACAAATTAAATATGAATATCTTAATGATGAAATAATACTAAGAATTACGTATATATACTTTGCATACTTCGAAACATATGTACGAATATGCATGTCTATTAAGAATATATGACATGTAAACATATGTTTTGTAGTATACAATATATATATATATATATATATATATATATATATATATATTTATTTATATATATACATTCTAGACATTTTTAATCCACATTTTTATATTCTTAATTAGTTTTATATATAGAACAAATTCAATTCTTACCTTTTCTCCACCACCAACAGCATTCCTATTGATATTCTGCCTTCCCAATGTGCTAGTCTTCGCGGTCTCCTTCGTGTTCTCGGAATCTTTTCGTTTCTTCCGACGAACTTCCTCATCTTGCTCCTCCGCGTTGTCACCCTCGAAGTTACGCTTCGCTGTTGGCGACATCGAAGCGGTCGATACTTCGTCGGAGGTCAGTGGTGTCGTTATTGCTTCATTGATAGATATTGATGAACCACTGGCATTATTATCACCGCCATGATTATTTTGGCCGTTCAAGGATTTACCACTATCCTTATCCTTGTCCGGATTAGGATTCGGAGATGAGCTCGCGCCTCTCACCGGGGTCGGCTCTTTCGAGCTCTTAAATTCGTATATGTCACCGCTATCGGTAGACGATGCATTGCCGGATGTGCTGGTACCCGAAGCTGCATTTGTGCTTACCGACGACGTATTGGCTGGTGTTTTCGACGAAGTCTCCATGGAGCCTTGACTCTATTTATTAATAAAAATATTTGCATTAGCAATAAAATATAAAGAAATTGATATACACGAGCACATCGAATTTTAACTCTTAACTACATTAGCGGGATATCAACGTACAATTATTACGCAAATATTTTTCAAATAGTACATGCAATGTTCCTAAGCTCTACAAAGTTTATTTTCCATTATATTTGTAATAAATGATTATCTTTCAGTTTCAGAATATTTAATTAATACACCAGATATAAAAAACACCAACTTTATAAATTTTATTTCAGTTAAAATACATTAAAATTTGGGGTACAAAATTACCCTGCGGATGTAGTTGTGTAGCCAGATCTGGCCAATGTTAAAGGTTAAATGTGCCCTTTGAATCTATTCTTCTCTCTTAATGAATAATGTTTTATATTTTAAAATTTTAATCAACTAAGATTCGATAACGGCTCTGTAATATAAATATAAATCCTAAATGACAAGAAGGCGTAAAGAGCCAAACGTGGATGTTGAAAATAAACCGTGCACAAGGCAACGTATTATTCTCGGTGTACTAACCAAGACTTGAAAATTGAAATAAACTCTTACTTGATATTTAATTTCAAAAACCCCTAACCCCCCTACGGAAATAAATAAATGCAAGAGAAAAATATAGATCCGAAAGTCGCTGAATCGGGAATCGAACCCGAGACCTTTCGCTTGCCGGGCGACTGCTCTTCCATCTGAGCTATTCAGACCCTTCGACTCTATTCGCTTTGTGCATGATTACATGTGGCGCCGACTAACGGTAAAATATAATACTTAGACTGAAACAATTTATGAAATGTATAAGGAGAATTAAAATAAAAGTTTTCAATATACTATAATAATTACACATCCAAATATCGTAAGTACTATATAATTTTACTAATTACTTTAATTCTTTTAACTACTATAATAATCTAATTATTAATACTATATAATTTTTATTTCATAAAATATATTAAATATTAACCTCTGTAAACTGAGAAAAATATCTTAACCAATAACAATTTTTTTATTTTTCTTCTTAGACTGATAAATTGTTCAAAATGAATATAATTTTGAGAACAGGATTTAAAGGAATTACTCATTCAATTGATTTTCATCCTCAAACTATCGTAAAAGGGAAAAAATTAGCTATATCTCATGTTCAAAGAGTAGAAAAAAATATACAAATGACACTGGTATTTTGATAACAGGTAGTGTCATACGTCAAACTTCTGTCACTTTACACCCTTACAAAGTTAGTTTAGAGAGGTAAATATTGACATGATTGATATTTAATAATTTAATTTATATTTTTTATAACTGATTAAATGTATTTTAGTTGGATAATAATCGTCATGTGCTTCTTGTTTCTTGTAATTGTGTGTCAAATGCAGGAAAGAAATGCAAACATATTTATGCTTTAGTATGGTATGTAAACTCTGATAGGAGTGCAACAAAAACATCTATACATCAAGAAATGTACTCCAAGTCACTAATAGTTTCCAAAGAATTCAAGAAAAAGCTATATTACAAGAATAAAGTAATAATTCCTTTTAATCTTCAGATATCAGAGTGAAAAGCGATTGTGCGTTATTAAGAATTTTACAGGCAAGTAATATAACAGAAACTGAAAGTATTGTAAAACAAATTATAATAGTTATTTTAGACAATGTTATAAAAAGTTTTAATGTTAATCGAATGAAAGAAACAATTTTAAAATTAATATATTTAACTAAACATAATATAATTTATGGTACAACAAACATTGTGATGGATGTTAAGTTAGACGAGTTTTATAATATAAATGTGAGACTTATAAATGATCAATTATTACATTTGTGCATAAGAACCAAAGATCAAAGTGAATGCAAAGAATGGTTTGATGCAAGATGTGCAAGAATAAGTGCGACTAAAGCACATAGTATAAAATGTAATAAAAAAAAAGATAAAAATGAACTAGCAATTGAGCTTTTGAAACCTAAAAATTTGAAAATAGCGTCTTTAGAATATGGAAAGAAAAATGAAAAAAAGCTATATGTGATTATATTAATAAATACAATAAAAATGTTCAAATATTAGGTTTATTTGTAAATCCACTTCAATCATGGCTTTGTGCGAGTGTTGATATGGCATTGTAATTGATACGAATGATTTAAAAATTTTAGAAATAAAATGTCCTTCATCTTGTAGTTATACACCAATTTTTGATGCAACAAAAAATACATTTAATGTATCTTATTTATACTTTAATGAAAATAATGAGATAAAACTGAAAGCTTCTCATTCGTATTATACTCAATGTCAGATTCAAATGTATGTAACAGGACTGCATATGTGTCATTTATATGTATGGTCTAGAAAGGATAGCTGTTTAGCAACAGTTTTAAGAGATGAAATATTCTTGCAACAAGTGGTTCCTAAAATACAAAATTTTTATTTTCAATATTATTTAAATGCGTTATATAATTCTTACATAACTAATAATTTATAATAAGTTTTTGTTGTTTAAATTATTTAAAGCAATATTGTTTTTTAAAAGTTATAAATTTTAAATAGCGTTGATATTGTTACATTTTTTAATCTAAAGTAAAAATATTAATACTAAATAATTTTATATATTAAATTTTTTAAAATTGTAAGAGAAAAATTATTATTAAGTTATAATTTTGTTCATATTTTAATATTTATATAATGCATAAATTATAATCTAACACATAAAACAAAATATATATAATGAAATTTAATAAGAGTTTACTATTATTATTTATTAATAAAATTTAATTGTTATCCTGATCTGCTATGATTGGCAGTTGCAGATTCACCAACACACAACACATGGTAATGTCGTCACAATATGGTAGCATATTTAGGGTGAATTTATTTAAAATATGATAGGTTCGAAGACGTTGCATTATACGCTCTATGTGAATACGTATACTAGCTACTCTATAAGTTTCTTCTATTTCCTCTTCTGAGAAAGTTCCATTCTTCAAAACAGGAGGCATAACTAGTAAAACATTTTTTCCTTCGTCATCCAATTTGTTTTTAACTTGAGAAAATCCTTTGTCAGCAAGAATCTGATCATTTTCTTCAAGTAAATTTAATATTCCGGATTCTATTTTGATTTGTGAATCTGCTGCACGTCCACCAAAACATTTTGATCTAAAAGAAATAAATCCTGATGGAGTACAACCAACTAAAATTTTTAATCTGTATCCTTTTTTATATTGAGTAAAAGAACACTCGACGTTCAATAGAAGAAGGTGTCTCAACCAAAAACTCTGTGCAGTCAATAATAACTCTACATTTAGAATAATTTTCTTTGAAATATTTGGGCATAGTTTCATCTACGGTGTGTCGACTAGGCCATGTAATAAAATTTTGACAAGCACTGCTCAAATGCTGAAGCACAGAATAAAATATTCTTGTTACTGTTGTTCTATTTATATTAAATAGCACACTTAAGGCTGAAAAACTTAATCCATATTTCATTTTAAACAAAAATATAAGCAATCTATTTTCTTCATTAATTTTTTTATAATTATATTGTTCATTTGCAATAATAATTTTTAACAATAATGAAAAATTTGCTAACGTCACTCCGGCCAAATCATTTCTCTATCAGTTTTTATACTTTTTAGACCATGAAAACCATTTTCACATTTTAATAAACCAGATGTTCCAACACATTTATCTACATATAAAACTTGATTTCCACAACTTTTTTCAGCCATTTTTTTCTATTGTATATTATTTTTGGCTCTTCTGGGCAACATGTTTGTGTTTCTACAGAACACTTTGTACTATCATTATAAATATATCGATTGCATATAAATACATGTATGCTTGATCTTTCAGAGTCTAATTTTTCACACATAATTTGTACTTGACATCCTTGATCGACTGTCCGAGATCCAAGAATATTATTTTCATTTTCTTCTAAAGAATCTTGTTGAATTAAAAGATTACAATCTTCTTCTTTTTTTAAACTCAATATTTTTCTTCTTTTTAATCAAATCTTCTTTATCAGACCCTTTAGATGATCTTTTTAAAAAACGTTGATATCGCCCAAGAGCAACATTGTCTGAAGTATATTTTTTTTATAAATACTTGGGAAAATAGTGGGATTGTAGCTGGGACTACGAGGGTCTTCTGACTTTTTATTTTCAATAAAATGGTCACTGCATATGCGCGACCTATTATGTGGCTTCCAATCTGATCCATCGGGTCTAGGAAATGAAATTATTAAAATAAATAAATAAGCTTTATTTGTGCATATTTTTGAATTTTTAGTCACTAATTAATTATATTTAACTTAATTTTTTTTATAGCTCTTAACCATATTTCACGTCTTTGTACTTTATGTGAATAATGTACATTAGATGTTGGAAAACAATAAAATGATTTATCTGGAGTATCACAAGAATTATTTTTGCAATTTAATACACAACAATATAATTTTGCTTTTTTTTAATTGTTTATTTTCCATTTTTCTAATTTATTAAAAGATTAGTGTGTTTTGACAGCTTATTCAGGCTAACTTTCCAAAATAGCCAATATGAACGCTTAAATCGTTTCGCGAATCCTCTCCACATTCATGCACAAAGCGAATATCTTTCTCTGCTTATATATAATCTAAATATTCGCCGGCGTGTGCATAAACAACTAAGATTCGATAACGGCTCTGTATCTATCTTAGTTGTTTATACACACGCCGGCGAATAGGCGATATTAAGATTATATATAAGCAGAGAAAGGTATGGAGTTGAAGAGTCTGAATAGCTCAGATGGAAGAGTAGTCGCCCGGCAAGCGAAAGGTCTCGGGTTCGATTCCCGATTCAGCGACTTTCGGATCTATATTTTTCTCTTGCATTTATTTATTTCCGTAGGGGGGGTTAGGGGTTTTTGAAATTAAATCTCCAGTAAGAAATGATTTCAAATTAAAATCTCAAGTAAGAGATTATTTCAATTTTCAAGTCTTGGTTAGTACACCGAGAATAATACGT